ACTTGGAACACGTCGTTTCTGAGCTTCTAATGCGCATTTGTAGATTAGTTCGGTAAAGAAACGATACTCTTCCAGTGGTGGTAGAGGATCGGTAGAATCAATACCAAGTGTTACCGCCGATACAAATTTTTGCCAATCAATGTTCCTCGTGAGGTCAAAAGGAACTTGAATTGACTGATCTGTTTTTAGACGACCACTTTTGATTGAAATAATAATTGGCAAGTGATCACTACCATGGGGATCATTGATAACCTTCCACAGACAATCTAATGATAGTGAGTTAGAGCACAAAGAAATGTCAAGACGGCTCTCTCGAGCAGGAGGGTTTGCTATACGTGTTCAAGATAGTCAAGTTGAAATCGTCGCACAAATCATAGAAAATACCCGCTCTATTGTCATCGTATGATTCGCCCCAACCAGTACCGTGTGAGTTCATATCGCCCAGTATTAGAACTGGAGATGGAAGGATATTAACTGAACTCCAAAGCTGACGACGGTTTATGGAAGTCCTAGGAGGGACATATACAGAAGCTATGCAAAGATCTTTGTTCTTCACATTTATTTGGCAAGCGACAATTTTAGGATTGAGATTTTATAGAAGGAGTAGCACTTTTTGATCCCCAAAAGTACGCCACCATATGAATCATCTCGGTCCAGGCGGATAATGTTAAAATCGTGGAAGTTTAGTTCATCTTCAGAAGAAAGCCAAGTTTCACAGAGTGCAAATATATCACAATCAGAATTGTGAATCAAATACTTGAACGAGTCTAATTTAGGTATTAAACTACGACAGTTCCATTGTAATAAAGTGATCATATCTTGATCCTCACTCGACGAATTATCCATCGAAAGATATGAATTCACCAATGAGGGGCCATGATGCAGTCAATTGCTTGAAGTAGTTTCCGACTATAGGAACAAGCAGGTCAATAAGCCCTCGAAGTGGCGATTCGTCGGGAAAGCCGAGGGCATTCAAAATGTTATCCACAATGTCCTTAAATTTAATCTTTCCTCGCTTGGACGGGAGGGTTTTCTTTGAATTGCGAGTAGACGTAGTGTTTATTTTTGGTAATCTCTTACGATTACCTTTATTAGGTAGCGGCGGGGTGGAAAAGCTGCAGCAAGGATCAGATGGAGTAGCAATTACCGATTTGTTCGGCTTTTTCAATAAATCCCCGCTAATTCAGATTTTTGCATGCTTTTGAGAGTGGTTTTATTTTTTTTTCCGGCGCACTCCCGGGGAGCTAGTCGGCTTCCTTTTACCAGGGGCGTGTACCTGAGGAGACTCACTCTCATCTGCTATGTCAGAGTCCAGTTCATCGGAAGACAAAATCTCAAAAGTGTTTTCATTTTGAGCGGCTGATGCCAACGCTTCAGAGGTTCCATTTTGCAACTTAACCATTTCTGCAAACGTCAGCTTGGAGCGTTCTTTTATTGAACGCTTCACATTATTGGTACGCTTCTTGTACGCGGGGCAGTCCTGCAAAGCATGAAGAGGTTCTTTGCCACAGTAAGCACATTTAGTTGCTTCCTGTTGGCAAGCACCCTCCATGTGGTCTTGGCTACATTTGCCACAACGGGGCTTGTTGTCACAAAAAGCAGCTGTGTGTCCCAACTTTTTGCAGTTGGTACAATTATATACCCTTGGTACAAAAAGTCGCACCGGGAAAAAAACATTTTCAATTTCTAAAAACTTTGGGAGAACCGATCCAGCGAAAGACACCTGTAGTGAGCCTGAAGGGGAATAAGTCTTTTGACCATCTACCGTGGTCGCTGAATACAATATCCTGCAACCCAGAACGTCCACGGTAGATGTAGCAGCATTTTGAAGGCGCCCCATACCTTCCATGACGTCATCACACGTCAGGCTCACTGCAGAGACCACGCCGTCTATCTCCACATCTCGAGATGGGATGTAGACGTAATACTCTTCATTATAACCCTCGTCGTCAGCAATCTCATTTGCGACTTTATATGTGAGTGCAGTTATACGCAGTTTGTTCCGATTGACCTGATGGAATTCGGTCCCCGGGAAACGACGCGTCAACGTTCTTTTAATCCCTAAGAAGTTTAGGGCTTTCTCTTTCTGCCGAAAGTAGACAACCCAAGGCGAAGCAGAAGACGCCTGGTAATGACGCTTTCTTACTTTATCATTGGGAGGCTTGACGCCCCCCTGTCCTTCATCCATACGAAATTTAAAACTTTCGTTAGGAAGTAATTATTATTTTTACTTTTTTTGATTTACGAACCACCCTATGTGGAACGATTCCACTGGGGGAGAGACAGACGATTCACAAGCGAACAGTCAGAGGAATGGGTATACAAAAAAACAGATACGTGCTACTATTTGCCCTTACCGTTTCTACTGCTATACTGTTGCTGCTCTGCCACAATAGATGCCAGTCGTACACACCGTCCGTGCGGTGGCTCACTGCTTTCTGCTGGCTATTGTTTCCAGTTGTACACCGTCCGTGTGTTTTGCCGTATGCCGAATTTCGATATCGTCGAAGCGGGTTTTAAAGGTGGACAGTCCGACCGTAGGCTTCGCCAGGATCGGCTGCTTCCTCCAGAAATGCGCGAGTCACCTGAGGCACAAAAACTTTTTCCGGAAAATAACGTTTCGCGGTGAAAAAACACTTTCAAAGCGATGCCGTGTGACGAGACAACAGACCCTGATGTTGCTCATTCGCTAGCAGAACGAGGAATGGTTTGGTATATGTTGCACATCATAGATGCGCAAAATATATCAAAACGGCCAGGCCTACTGTGCAGCATTTAAGGGGCAAGATGATTCATAAACATCGGCCCTGTTTAAATCCAAGATTTAAACACGCCGCTTCAGAATCCAATAAATGGATGAAACGTGGACATCTCGTACCGTACGTCCCGTGTATTGTTATTTATAAATCATTTGTCGTTGGGAGCATCTAGTCTAAAAAGATTAAGTGATGCTCCATTTTCTTCTAGCGGTTGGGACCTGAGCACTAACTCTTGTCCTAGCCCTAAATGGCATATGGTTATAGCGCCATTACTCGCTTTCTGAAAAGAGAAAAAGAGAAGGGAAGGAGAGGAAAAGGACTTGGGAAAAGGAAATGTGGAATTCCTTTCCTTATTAGCACAGACAAACAGACGTAACTCTTCATTGTGTATCTTCGTTCACGCATTTAACGGTTGATTTGAATATTATCAGTTCCGCGAACTACTCGCCGCAGCGCTGGCATCGGATCACTTTTACGTTTCTATACATTCTATAGAACTGTTATGCAATATTGTTTGCGAGTTAACGAGCAAGCTTGTTTTCCGCGAGAAGCCTGAAAGATGTCGCTACTGAGGTCCTATGTTTTGAGATACTATGTTTTCAAGAAAAACTTTTTCAAAGAGTTACGTCTGTTTGTCTGTGTTATTAGTATTGGTATCGTCAAGTTTTATAAAAAACATATAAATCATTTTGCCTTGGTCAGAGGTATTATAACGACAATTTCTTATCATTTGTTCAGGCTATCATATCAAGCTATGACCGACGTGACGATTGTTTAAACCCTGGTTAAACAAGTTAAATAACGTTCCCGAAAGCAGTCAACAATGTATCCCAAACTGGATCAAGCGTGCACCCTATTTTTCTAAACATTCCGACGCGTTCCGCCCAATATCTATCAATTGCGATTTTCTATAATAGTAGCCTGGAATAAATCTTAATGTCTTCCCCCCCCCTTACAAGACTCAACTATGTTCTTGCACTCGCAAAATAGATCACGCGCAAATTGAGGTTACCCCGGCAGAAAACAAACGGGTTGTTTTTAACTAGAACAAGCTCACCAAATACAATCACCATGGCAGCACCAACAACTACATACTCGAGTCTTGTCACTATTAACAAGGCATTAAAGTGTGTTCCCCTGCTCACTGAAAACTCCTGTTCCCCTCCGAGCGTGAACATCTCCTGTTCAGGACTAGCGTTCGGTGAAAATCTTGTTCCGTTAACACAGCACGAAAAGGTGATCTACCAGCGTTACTGGATTGAAAAGATAAAATGAACAAAAAGGAACGAACTCACCAAGTTTAGCCAATTGAGCCTACAGGCAGCTTGAGATGTGTTGATGGTGTTCACATTGCACACAGATACATCAACACACTACAAACACTATTTGCTTCGTTTCCTTGGCCATGGGTAAAATACTTCTCTTCTTCCTGCTTGATCCGGATTTATTCGCCGTTCAAGGGAGCTCGACTGCGCCGGCGGGAAGCTGCACACTTTGCTGTGATCTCAGTAAAAAAAATTTTGCAGAGATTTGCACAGCCGATCTCGGTAGAAAAATCTAAGTGTGTGGAAATATCCTCGAGCTCCTCCAGCGTTAGTCCTCTGATCCCGGTTGCAGTTTTTCACCCGGTGGTGCTACTGCTGCGAGTGCTTCTTTATTGCTGCCCATCTGACCAGCGGAACGCGTTTTGCACCCTATCACTATCACCCTATAACAAAATTGAAAAAAATGACGGGAGGACACCACATGACACATAATTCTCAATTCTGCCCGAAAACCGTAAACGACCGATTTAAATGTGTAGTTATCCGAACTGTCAAAACCAGAGGATTTTTTGATCTAGATAAAAATAATTTGTCCAGAATAGATCAGACACGAAACAATTCATAACTTTTGCGGGTTCATGGCGTAGCTAAATATTTCCCGCGAACACGGAGCCAGATGTCAGTAGTGTGCTTTGGTCAGAAAATGTATTGTTTTTGCTATGGTCATTTATGTCGGTTTGTCGGTGCCTTATTTACTTTTACTTGCTTGTAAGCAAAAATTCCGCAGTTCAACAAGGATAAGATATTCAGCAAACCCAAAATTTCAGCAATTTGTATGATTTTCTCATATCATTTGAAGGCAATAGTTTTTATTGATGACATACTTTTTAATCTTAGATTTCTTCCTAATTTACAACAACATACATTTCCATTTCGAACTTCTTACCGTTTCGAAAAAAATGTCTTTTTTTACTATCAAGCTACACGAATTACACATCCTAAACTTTCCTACACGATTCGGTGCATCATCCCATCCGATCGCTTTGAACTTTAAACTGTGAAACACCACAAAACAGCAAAATTAGTCTTCTTCCGGATGATGATGTTAGGCTTTACTGCTATTTCCGATCTGTAAATAAGGTTCTTAAAAACAATTCTATCCTGTTAGTGCGTTCTTCTTTCGAGTATGTGAGAGTAGTGTGTTTATTTAGGAACCGATGCGTTCTTGTGTAGAGGAAATCGAGTAAACCAATTAAAGTTAACGTCTCACAGTTAAGGCTGCTTCTGATTTTTTTTTCAACATCGATGTGATAATGTCTACATTTTGCGACCCTCAACTATGTTATTGCAATATTTCGATCGAGTATTATAATAATACATCGAAAAAGCTCCAAACCGTGATGTAGATTTGAGGAAATAATAAAATTCAATCGTAATCATCACAGAGCATTCTTCTAAAAACAAATGTCTTTTGTTCGGTTCTATTTTCAGACTAATAGAAAATAGTTTCAGTCGATTCTACATTTTAATAGACGGAAAGATTTTTTTTCAACCTTGGATAGATTTTCTATTCGGTAAAGGGAAACAAATGCCTTTTGAAAAGTGTAAACAGACAGTTTCGAAAGTTGCTCAAAAGAACGGAAAAAGTGCTACACTAGTTAGTTCAAGACGAAGCCTACAATCAGATTTATAAGAAATTGAGTATAAATGTGACGAGTGTTAGTTCTTCTAGATCTGCGCTACTTTTTCTTGGTTGTATTCTCTATAATTTGATATCTCCCCGCGAGGAGCGGCTGGAATTAATTCTATCTAATCAGGTAAAAAATAAATATGCGAATATATTATTACAATACGTTGAATTGTTGTACAATTCGGACCAGACTCGTTTCGTCAGCCGAAAACGATCCGTCTCGTTGGTAAATAAATTCTAAGAATCATAATCAAAAAACCCATCTCACTCGAATCTTGCTGCTTCATTCATCTGGTTTCTTTTTGGTGCGCAATGGTTCAATCATTCGGAAAACCGAACTCCCTTCTCTTGACGACACGAACAATTACTCAATAAAGTTAACAAATAAATTGTTCACGCTCGGAAATAAAAAAAAAAAACGCAATCTTATCGATTATGACACATTAAAACACTCCCGGCCTACGCCAATGATAGGCAGCCGGCGCTAGGGCATTCCGGGTACGATCCCGCTGAGCTGGCCCGGATGACAGTGGGCACTCGCTGTAGCCTGCGACAGCTGCTGGAGCATTGAGGCCCGGGCCTTCTGCTGTTCCAATCGTTGTACCTGCGATATAAGGCGACCATTCTCGACGTACAGTTCCCGTACCAGCTGATCGTTGTTGGCCAGTCGGCTGGCTTGGTCCGAGATGATCATATTCTGGGCCTCCAGTCGGTTGCGAAGCTCACTGATTTCGCTACGCTGCTGTTGCCAGATTTCTGTTGAATGGATATAAAATGTTTACTAAATGTTTTTGCATACCAATTCTTCAGAATACTCACGATGCAAAATCTGCTCGGTGTAGGCCTGTTGCTGTTTCAGCATCGACTGCAACTGCCGGTTCTTCTGCTCCAGGTGCTGAATCTTCTGCGTGAGGTTAGGATGCGCCGTTTTGGTGTAGGCTCGCGCCAGGATCGGTTTCACCTCATTCAGCTGTTGGAATTCCATCTTTAGACAGTCCCGTTGGTGGGTAAGATCCTTGATCTCATCTTGCAGCTCTAGCAGTTTCAACTGTTCCTGACTGATCATGGCGACGTCCGTTTGGGATACGGATTTGTGACTGAATAATTGCAAGACATTATACTTTCTGTGGAATCATGGATTCAAATCGAGAGATACTTACATGCTGTGGGTAGAAGCCAAACTGTGTGCACTTCTGGCCGATTTCACCGAGCATACATCGGAACAGTCTGCCAGTAGTTCTTGTCCCTCTGTCGCTGTACAAGGAGTGGAAGAGGTCCCTGCAACAATTGGTTTCTGGATCGGTGAAATCGTACGATCAAAGCCAGCATCCTCGGCATCGGCTTTCAGCTCATCGGCAACCTTAGACGGAAGTGACGATAGAGAAGCATTTAGTTTACTACTGGTACTACCATCGTCACAGACGTGACCCTGTTCCAGAGGGGTGCTGTTCACCTTCGACGGATGACACCAGTGTGGATTTTGATAATCTCGAGTAGCCGGAGCCTGAATCGTACTTTGATTCCACAGATAGCTTATCGGTGAACTGGCGGGGCTTTCCATGTCGGGCGTTGCACTGAAAACAGGATTACACGTTACTTACATTAGATGAAAATGCCTCAAAAGCAATACTTACAGTAACGCTTCCGACGGATATTTGGTAAGCTGTTCCAACTCAAGGATCCTGCTCCTGAGTTTCTCGACTTCATGAGCCTTCTCCTCTAGAATCAGTTGCGACTGTTGGAATTCACCTTCCAGGTCCAAATACTGCTGCTCTAGAACATCTTTCTCCTCAATCGGAGAAAGCCGACCATCCTCATTTTTGTTGCTAGATTGACCGGAAAACTGTTCCTCATACTCGGCCATCTTCTTCAGTAGCTCGTTGAACTTTTCATCTGCCACACGTTGTTCCTCCTCGTACAGCAACCGTTCTTCGTTCAACTTTGCTTGCCAGTAATCTTCGCATGCTTCGTATTCCTTGCTCATCTGCTCCAAACTTGCCTCCAGCTCGTCGCACCTTGCCTTCAACTTTACCTTTTCCGTCTGACTCGTACCTCTACTACCGCTTTCTACCGACTCCGATTCAATCTTTTCATTTCCTTTCTTCTCATTCAACTTCTTCTCCAACTCAAAAATCTTTGCCTTTAATTGTTGAATTTCTTCTTCCTTGCTACCACCCTCAACATTCACCCCCGGTGACGCTATTGCACTATCCACTCGCAGTCCCAGTTCCGAATGTAGCGCCATCCAATCGCCACTGGAATCGGACTCATTCTCAACATCGTTGCTGCACTTCCGGAACTTTCCTAACCGTGGACTTTCATCCGAAAGCCGAGCCTTACTCGGTGAATCTCCTTGCCGCTTCCTGGCAGCACTGGAATTCTCCTCGAACCCAGTCACTTCCACCATCACCGGCGAAACATCCAACGAACTTGTCCTACTGATGCCACTTCTCTTCAGTTTGAACTTAGCCAGCTCCACGTTCAGCGTTTCGATCTCTACGCACAGCTCATCATTCTTGTCCTTCAGTTCCTTGTTCTTATCCTGCAGCAGTGAATTCTTCTCAATCAACTCCAGCACCTCCAAATCATTCTTCCCATCAAATTCATCGTCGAAATCGTTCCTATTGTTTTCCTCCAGCTCGGCAATATCCCTGTTCAACCTAATATTCTTCTCCAACATGTCCGTCAGTTCCTTGGTGAGGTTCTCCTGTTCCGCTCGCAAACCGTCATTCTCCTCCAACAGCCGATTCATTTCCGCCTTCAGCTTCCCCTCATCCTGTTCCAGCCCTTGGATTCTCTTCTCCAGACCAGCGTTCGCACAGGACAGCTGTTCCCGCTCAAACGCCAGTTGCGACGTTAGTTCCTTCACCGTTTCGTGGTGGCGCTGCTCCAGAAGACGAATCTTGTTGCGGGTGGCACTTTCCAGCGAGTTGTGACGCTCGTCCACCTCCTGCAGCAGCAGTTGCGCTCTTTGGTTGGCTTCCTTGTTGTCGGAGTAGAGTTTCTTGTTTTCCTCCATGAGCTGAAGGAACGCCTGCCGGAGGGCGGTGACTTCCGCCTTGTGAAGTGCCAGCGATGCCTGCGGATGATACGAGAAGATACGGTTGTGGTTATGAGCGGAAGGTATTTCATTTTAGATAGCAAACACTTAGATTATTTTGCAGGAGTTAGTTAAAACAGCAAAAAAAAAGGTTATCTTCCATTTAATTCCACTTAATTAATTTGGTATCCATGACAGATACGTATTTCGACTACAATGTGCTGTTTTATTTGAGCATTCCGCTAACAACCCAACTTCATTACTTATTAAGGAGTTAGTTCTTTTACTGGATTTTTGAATAGCTGAAAAAGTGGGTTAAAATTCAAATGAGCGCGATCCGTAATAAATCAATGAAATCGACAATTTTTTTTATCTCTATCATTAAATGGGATTAACAGAACTAAGTCTGTACAAGTTCGAAAAAAATTCTCAATTTTAAAGTTTCCACAGATTTTTAAACTTTTTACCGAACAGTTCCACAAGTCAAAAAAAAACCAGTAACACCTTTCTGACTGGATGAGTGTGCAATGTCTTTCACAAATTTCGGAGAATGTTAATTAACAACATAGATAGGTACTGCCCATAATCGCAAGTCCGTCCCATCTGTAAAAATCTAGAAATGAGAAATTGGCGTTCAAAGATTTCACATGTTTGCTGATTTGACACAATATTTTGGAGGGATAAATTTTAAAAATAAACGTACAATGCGATAGAATGCATCTATGTTTACCAAATCATATTCGAAAAATATCGTGAAATTCTCATTTTATGGCCAAAATCTAAGTGGGACTGACTGGCGATTATATTTAACGTCAATGAGAAAAATAACCGCAAGTTAGTCACAATCCCATGACGATGCTGCATTAGTTTAGCACAGTATTGAACAGTAGAAAGATACCATGGTCCCATAGAACGTTATTGAATGTTTCTGGTTTTGTTCCGCTGGTTCCAGGGCAATGGCCGGAACATATTCTGGTGAGTATGGGTCTTCATCAGACCAGAGCTTTTCATAAACAGGCCAAACCCACCATGCTATAAATCAATTCACACGAGAATTCAAAAATAAGATCAATAAGAGTCATGATGAGTGACCAGCACCATGTTGGCCACACCCGGACATGTTCCGGGTATCCCCGGGGAAGTGGTATATCCTTTTTAAATCAAAATCCATCAGGCGATACATCAACTCACATGAGAAACTGTTAAACTGAGTATCGTAAGAACTATATTGGCCACATCCGGACATGTTCCAGATACCCTAGGGGAAGTGGACAAAATCTGTCTTGAGACAAATCTCATGATGCGATGTGTTGTCTAACATTTCTAACATATGTTTTTCTAATGGGACTGACTTGCGGTTACTTTTCGCTGTGGGACAATTTGACTTGGTATTGTTTTTCATTTTTCTTGAACAAACCACCTTTTTTCAATAGCACATCTCAAAAAACATAGAACGATAAACTGAATAATGATGCTATCTCAAAATTAATAAAAATGCAGATGGGACTGACTTGCGAAAACCGTCAGGATAGGACATATTGAAAAGTGACGCGATATTTGTGCTATTCAAGAGCATAATTCTTCCGAACTTTTCTCTGTGTTCATTCCTCGAATTTGGACTAATGTTGACATCAAATTGACTCCTACGAAGACTCGACTTAATGTATTCAAAACAAGTAAGCTTCATGTTATAGTAAGCTCGACCGCACTACCAGGTGGTTTCCATAGATATTGCTTTTTATAAACTCAAGAACACAGAAATCAAAATAAGCCACACACCTCCTCTGGCTGGAATTCGTCATTACAAATGCAAATTTAACATGACTTTACGAACGTGTGGGCGAACCGAACCAAACAAAACTGAAGCAAAAACGAATAAAAAAACCACTCACCCTCACAACCACAGACGTATCGTTGCCATCGCCCAATCGTTGCTGTTCGTCCTCCAGCGCAATGATTAGCTCCGTTACCTGCACCTCTTCGCCGTAGAAACCGAGATCCTGCAGCAAACTCCTAGGCTCACCAATGCCAGCCGACTCCCACATATCGATGATGATGGCCGCCGACAGCGAACCGATCTCCGCGGTCCACTCTGCTATAGCAAATGTTCCGTTGTATTAAACGTTATCGATTACAATGGTCAATGTGCACAAACTTACCCGGCATCCGCATTGTGAACCCGACCGTCTCTTCCACGCTGTCGCGATCCAGTTCCTGAACCTTGAAGGTGTCGCTCTCGTCAAATAAGCGCACTCGCACGCCACCAGTACCACAATTACCACCGACTGTCGGTTCCATTTCACCGCCACCGATGGGAAGGATGTCCGAGTCGCTTTGCAGCAACGAAATGAAATCATCGAAACTGATTCCCTCAATCGGCTGCAGCGATAGCTTTGCAAACACTTCGCGGGCGGCCAATTTGGCTGGGAGCTTTTGGAGACCCACCCTTTCGCAAACAATCTCCAACTGCGACTGATTGAGCAAATCTCCGTGACCGCTACCGACCAGCGAGTTCCAAATGTCCCGTAAATTTTCCGAAAGTTTCATAAAGTAGATCTTCTTATCGATTTTCTGATCCATATTCAGCTGATCACGTACGTTTTTCGCGTTCAGCTTGCCGAGATCCGGTCGCTGACGATGGGTCGGTAGTGAAGCACAACGCTTAAGCCTGCTTCCGCTCATGGGCCGACGTCGCTTCGAGCCGTGAATGTCACTCTGCGAAGCGGATCGTTGGACTTTGGAAGAGGAGTTCTTGCTCGAGGCGTTGTCTGTAGAAGGAGGTATTATTTGCTGTGGCTGCTGTGGATGTTGGTGTTGCTGGGGGACAGATTCGTTGTCTGAGTTGCTGAAATCTGACGATGAATCCACTCCGTTGCAGTCCTCTCGAGGACGTGACCGGCGGCCGTACTTTTTCGTTCCGACTACAAATTTTGGCGACACTTCCCGATCGGATGACTCATTCTCGTTATCACATACTGTGGTACTAGTAGTAGTAGTAGTAGTAGTAGTAGGGGTAGTAGGATTGATCGTTGTCTGCACGAGATCATCATCCTCACTCTCACCCGATGGCACTAGGCGACTACTGCAGCCGACAATCTTCACGACTGAGGACTGAGAAGATTCGCTCTCGGCTGCAGCTGTCTCGTTATCGCGGCGATAGGTAAATTGGTGAGGATGCTTCGATGTGTTGGAGCTTATGCTACCCGCCGTAATTGACGTTGATCCGGCATTGCTGCTAGTGTTGGAGACTGCACTTGGCGATGCAACTGTGGGTGAACCTGTTGATACATTCTGACCGTCGGAGGAATCTGTAAGCGAAGAGAAAATGAATCAATTAGAATACTTTTATCTACACTGTGAGGAAGATGGGCCATTTGGAAAGTTTGAGGAATGCCTTACGAAGAATGATTATCATGGTGCTGATGACGAAACACGCGGCCTTTGTCGGCTCAAGAAGCGCTAAGCGCAACTTCTATTCGTGACTGCACTCCAACGGTTGTTCGAATCAAATAGCTACCTAGTAGCAGTAGGTTTAGGTAGGTGCAAAAAACAACACACAACATCGTAGAACCGACCGACCAACTAACTATAATAAATTGGTGGCAATGAGCGCAAATGTAACGAAAACTATAAGTGAAACAACAACAACGGCCGCGCAAGCACGTAGGTATTTAATTCAGAGCAAACCCGAGCTAAAAGGAAGGCTTTTTCGCGCCTCCAACGCGAAAATAAACATTACCTACTGAACGCTTTGCACGGTGCACGGCTGATAGGCTGGGAAAATTTTAAAAGAGTAAATGATGAATCGAATGGCATTGCAAAGTACTCAGAAGAAGTGTCACATGTTTCGCACATTTACGGCTCTCTGTTATTATAGCTCATGTATAGCACATATTGGTACTCTTACTAAAAGCAGTTCGAAATGTCCCCTTGATGTTTAGGTTTATAACAAGCTCAGATAAAAACTAACAGTAAGTTAATTGATTCAACCAGGCATTGAAATTTCATCTATTGACCAAATCCACTCCAACTGACGAATCGATTTTATTTTACTCCCTTAGAATTCCATAAAATTGTGCTATTGAAGCAATGAACTAAGTTTGTTATGGAATCCGGCCATTTTGAATCTATTCTGATTTTTCAAAATGGGGTGAACGATGTTTTTTTTAATCATAGCACGAAAATGGGTCATGATGTCTGAAATGTCTGTTCAGAAAAATATGTACACTGAAAATAATCACAACTTGTCGTCGAAATGAAAACTGAAAAACTGCAATAACAAAAAAAATAAGATTGTTTAACTTACGTTCATTTGAAAGCTTATCAAAAATGATAACTTTTCTGATATTGGATACACTTTAAAAGTGACCAAAATCGTTTAGCAACAACAAAATATTGTACTTTTTTCACAAATAATTTTTATTCAGAGTTGGTTCGAAATGCTATCTAACATGAAGCTTTAGTGTGGTAATTTATTATCAATGAAGACATACTTCAAATCTCCTCGTACATCGTACGAGTTAGGCAAAGAAGTGTGCGTTTGACTTGTACTGTCGCATTAATGGCCCTTCGCTCATTTTTAACTTCTATTCAATTTTCATACTGCCGTACTCTAACGGAGCTATCTACCTACCCTCTTCTAAGACCATTCTTTAGCTAATAAATTATCACACTAAAGCTTCATGTTGGATAGCATTTCCAACCAACTCTGAAAATCGCAAACTTCGCGTATGAAGTAACATAAAAACACTTTGAATGTAATTTTTATTGTTTTTTATGCAGACATTTTTTCATTCTATGCTCGTGGATGACATGGTGTTTTCGAACGGAAGCTGTTGCGTACCATCTACGGTGTGGAGTGCAGGCAGATGGATGACGGAAAGTGGAGGAGGCGAATGAACCAGGATTTGCTCCAGCTGTTGGCAGAAACACTCATCGTCCACTTTGCAAAAGTTATGCGACTGCGGTGGACTGGGCACGTCGTAAGAATGCCGCACGATGATTCAGTAAAAATGGTTCTAGAAAGTGACAAGGTGGCAAGGTGGATCGACCAAGTAGAAGGCGACCTGCGGTCCGTTCGCAGACTACGAGCCTGGCGAAGTGTGGCCATGGATCGAGTAGAGTGGAGACGACTTCTTCGGACAGCAGAGGTCAACAAGGCCTTAGCCTGATTGGTAAGGTAAGGTACCGGAACACCGAATTTATTATTAACTATTACGACTACTTTGCGACATAATAATGCTGTGTGCTGCATCAGAACGATGCTAAAACACCATGATTAAATTTATATGCTACTAGCTGAGTGTGCCCGGTCTAGCTCGGGATTCAATATTAGCTTGAGTTTATGCGCCGATTTAAAAAAAGCATGCTATATTGTACGTAGCCCCCCCCCCCTATTATCTAAGGGGCTACCCCCTATGATTATCTCCTTATACCCCCACACTCGCCCCCACATGCCTAATTTGGTTCCATTTGCTTGATTAGTTCTCGAGTTATTTATGCAGAAATTTCTGTTTCATTTGTATGGGAGCCCCCCCCTTACAGAAGGGGGAGGGGTCTCGAACCATCATAAGAACCTTCCACGGCCCCAAAAACCCCTGTATACAAATTTTCACGCCAATCGGTTCAGTAGTTTCCGAGTCTATAAGGGTCAGACAGACAGACAGACAGACAGAAATTCATTTTTATATATATAGATTTTGAGCATACTAGGCAGTGGTAATCAACTTTCAAAAGTGACCGGATTTACGGACTAAGTGTCCGGATTACCAGTCTTTACGGTATTGCAGATTCAGAAAAATAGCTTTAAAACTGACAACCGAAGCATGCTATTAAACCTGTGGTTAGCAAATAATCTGTATGTAATTTTCAGTATGCTAATTTTTCTCTAAACTGACGATAATGTGAAGTGGAATGATGGAGGAATGGTGTTACGTGACAAGGATCACTTAGAGCTCACACCTCTTCATTATACAGTGCGTGCCAGAAAAAAAAATCAGCTAAGGGATCATCCACAAATTATGTGTGGATTTTTCAGTCACAGGGTGGCCAGTGACTTTTCTTTTTGAAATTCCCGATATTTTCCCGATTTTCCCGGTTCAAATCTTAAAAATTTCCCGGTTGTAGATAATCAACAAACAACGAAATTGTACGCATTTTTTAAAACGTAGCCAGCTGTAAATTTTCAGCAAATTACAAAAAAAAAACTATAGGAAAAATTCAACTCTATGAGTCACTTAATGTATTCAAAACAATTTATTGATCTTTCTAGATAGGGGAAATGGCTCTAATGTTGGCCTATTGGTCTAAGATTGGGCCCATCGCTAAAAATCTGCTATGTATCAATTGGATCTAGATGAAAGCGTCATTGGAACGGTACTATTGTATATTTTTGGTTGATATTGAAAATTTAGTCGAATGCTGAATTTATGTATGAGCCCAAATTAGGGACACTTAGGCCGACATTACATACATTTCCCCTTCTTTGACAAATCGAATTCTACCACTTTTTATGCTCGATACATTTTATGGTTTCAAAGCCCTAGAATTTATTGAGTAACAGATATAAAGGTCACTGGACCAAATGCTATCCGGAATAATAGGTTACAAGACAGAATTGTGAGCAACAAGAGATTTAATTTAAAAAAAAATGTTTCAGAAAAATGAACTTGATACTAATGAGAATTAGAGAAAATTGATAGTGATAACCGATAAGGAAAATGTGTATTCACTCCATTGTCTATACTAACTTTCAGTACTTGCGCTGATATACAAAGTTAAACACGAAAAAAAATATGTGGCGTCGCGTAACTTCACTTTTTACCTGTGCACCAACTTTCAAAAACAGATTTAATGCCATATTCATACTCGAATCGGTTGAAAAATACACTTAAGCTGGGTTTAGATAGGGCAAGTCAAATGATCAACTCAGTTGAATTCAATTGGCTTGAAAAGTTGAGCCTGGTTCAACTTTTTTCAATTCAAGTGAGTTGATCAAGTCAGTTGAATGGCATGGTTTACACGTTCAATTCGCGTTCAAGTCAGTTGAATTCAACTGACTTGATCAATTGACTTGCCCTATCTAAACCCAGCTTTAATCTTCTAGTTAACTCGATATCTATCCATTGCAAGCAATATTTTGATAATTGTTTATGTTTTGAGAGTTGGTGCACAGGTAGCTTGAGGTTAAGGCGACGCCACTGCATACTAACGTTTGAGCTAGCTCGACGTGAAACTAAACATGGTTAATAAAATTTAATACCCACGAAAAAAATACTGAAAGATTATGTACTAAAAAGTGAGATTCCAAAGATTCTAGGGCTTTGACATTTGTGTAGAGTCTGAAAATAAAACTTTTCTACAAAATTTGGGATGAATAACAATCTTCGTGATGCAAGATTTGAAGAAAAAATAGTTAAAATGTGAGATTTTAAAAATTTTCCTAGATCACAGATTTGAAGAGAAAAAAATATATAATATTTATTAAATAGTCGTGCAGTCATAATTGTGAAGACTCTGAGACTTGGAAGCATTTTAAGGGTAATAACAAATTACAGAACCATCGATAGAATCTTGCGGGTAAACCCTGAAATTTTCAGTAAAATGTAAAAGTATTCAAAGTACTGATTTCAAACAACTATTGAGGAGGATTCCCACATAGTTTGCGGAGAAGTTCTGAGCAGAATTCCAGAATTATTCTGACATGAAGTCCTTAGAAATTTTTAGAAGAATCTGGAGGGATTTCTGTGGAGAAGATTGCAAGTTCTAAATTAAATTATTAGATAATTTTTGAAAAATTCCAAGAGAATTATGATGAGAATTCAACAAGACACAGAGTTCTAAGAGTCTTCTGGCGATAATTTCAACCCTAGTGTGAAAGATTCATCAAAGTACTCCAACAAAATTTATTGCAAAAAAAATTGCTAATGATTAGAAAGAAATTCTTTAAAATACTCCAAGGGGTTTCTAAATAAAATTTCGAAAAATTTATGCTGTTTTGATTAGAGTTAAAAGGAAATTTTGATAAGGATTTCAATGAAATCAAAGTGTCCGAATAGGTTTAAGGGAATTCTAAGACGGATTCCAAAAAATTTCTTAGAAGGGGTTTCAAGGAAATTCCAAAAAAAAATCAACGGTAATTATTAAGCAGAGTGTTTTCTGGTTAATTTTGGAAGAATTATATAATAATTCAGAGCATAATTCCAAGTTCATTCTGAAATTCATATCATGAGAATGTTGAATAAAATTAAAACCCCGGAAAAGAATAGTTCAGTTTCATTTTTTTACAAATATTTGTTTTAAGTTCAAC